AGTTTAAAATAAGTTTATTGATGCTCCAATTTCCACTTCTGAAATAGTTCTCAAAATATAAAACATTACTAACTAGAATAAAGATTGTAGTCCACAACGGTCATTAAATGCAAATTTTAATTAACCATCACATCTTCCATCAAGAAGTGACGGAGCAATAGGTACCTATAGGAGCAATAAGTTCCAATCATAACATCCAATAACGTTTTGTTTAAATATTTGTTGACGAATGGCAGTTGTCCACTTTCCTTCTACACACCCTGGAATCCTTTTGGCTTCGTTCATAGTTTCTTTATTATGAAAACTGACACAAGGTGTCTAAATTGATGCTATGCGTAATGCTAATGATACTTCGTATGTATTTGACCAGTTCTTTATTCTGAGAACTTGGGCTTATTTTAATGCTTACTTTTTGAGGACAATTAAAACATAAAACTCGAGTAATACTTAACAGTGACAATGTCAAAATCAGGGAGATAATTTCCACGTTCTCATACATTACATCTTGTTATTTTCAATTAGAATGTACATTATTCGAATCTATAATCCGAATCAGTAAACTACTATCAAGTTCTACTGTAATATAAACTAAAATTCATTCATAATTCCTCACTAATCTGCTAAAAGGAAGTAGGTGTATCAAGTAAATTGCATAATTGATATAATTCACATTTAATCAGTATTACATTTCATTTTTTTGCTTATTTGCGATTTGGTTACACTCTTTGTGCAAGTTTTTTCAAGGAAACCATCAAAAAGACGTTTTTCTATGTGAAAAAAGAAGTCATGTTTTTTATGTTAGGTAGTACCAAGATATTTTTAGTTTAAAATATAATTTATTCATTTTATATGTTGTATGATCAAGTGACTTTGGTTTAAACTGCGTCATTTCTGCTACAATTTAAATAAAAAATATTTCTCAATTTGTGCATGTTTATATTATATTCTTTTGTTTACTGCTCAAATTCCGCCTAGGTCTCTTGCATTTGTTTGCTTGATTTATGGCTCTCTATTGCTTCCATTTTGGTCCTCTCCGTGAGTTTTAACGTCTAGGATTCATGGTAATATGTCATTTATCCTCTTTATCTTCGTTCTTATATCTCGATTTTCATGTCCCATATTCCTTGATTGCTGTAATTGGAACTGGTTTTTAGTTAATCCACAACGTGTTATTCTGATAGTGGTATTACAGATTTTAATATTCGATTTCCTGTATATATAAGTGTGCATACATTTTTCGGTGTATTTGGTAAGTCCAGCCGCGTTTATTTTCATTTTGTTAATTTGACGTTTTGAAATTTTTTAGTTGTCTTATCTGTAGAAACAGTTAATTTTGAATTCTCTTCTGTTATAATTAATTGACGTCTAAGTTTATTTCTTTTTTTTTTCTCATACTTTTCTCTTATTTGTTATATAAATTTCTGTGGTCTCTAATTTGTTATCATCTATTCTTCATATCTTATTAAGGTCCCGTTTTATATCTCTATTATCTTCATAAAATATTTCGAATTCATGATTTATATTCATATTCCTGCATTATCACAATACACATATTATCTCCCCTAGTTTGTTATCTCCAATATCCAATTTACATTCCCAAATTAGCTTTTCTATTGTGCAATTAATATATTTTACATATGACTCACATCAGATACTGCTGAATTTTATTGAGAGATAAAAATATGCTTACTTTCAAAATAAATATCGCTTTGGCTTTGTTGACAATTTGCCCACATTAAATGGCTTTTAGCACCTTTATCGCCAATGTTTTAGTGCTGCTAATAAAAACAATTCATTCAATGATATACCCACTTCCTTTATGATGATTATATCTATAAAATTGCTTTCTTTTTAGTTGCAACTTACAATCAATATTGTTTATAGTTGCAATAATGAATGTGTATGTTTGATAAACTAATTTACACCGGTAAGAAGTTGATTTACATATCCGAAGATCGGCCATTGGATTGATGACCTATATCAGTACTGACATTGTTCTTAAAGAATTCCTTGGCACATTCTGTTCTGATAAGATTACTTAAATTAAAAGATGATATAATAAGAATGGTTTTTCACCCCTGATTTTCTTGGTGTGAATTCTTTATCTAATTTCTGTCTATAAAATCTTTTGACTGATGTTCATGTTATGACTTTTGTAGTCGCTGCTGATCGTTGGGATCTTATTTTATTTTGAATTTGCCGAGTATCAATCCGGAAATCGTTTTCAAAAATTCTGAAATAATAATTATGAAACGATGTTTATAAACGATAAATGTATGATAGGCGCTGGAGAACATGCTACAAGAAAACAGTTTCAGAACTTCAGAAACTTTTTGAACATAGTACTAGAAATAACGCAATAAACACCAAATTTTAATAAACTGAACCGATACAAAAGGAGTCTCGAAGAACTAGATGTCGAATTCAGCGCAAACTAATTTGTTTTATTAGCTTGCAGAATATACCAGCCATTTACGAATCTTCAGTTATTTGCCAAAGAAGGCTTTTTCATAGTCAATGAATGTCTAGTGTAATGGTTTTATGTGTTGAATTTTTCTATTAATATTTTGAGTACTAATATGATGTTCGGTTGAGTTTGCTATATGAGTAGGTAATAGAGCTATTGGTAAAGTTTGTTTAGCAGTAAATGGTTGACTTCAATTAGTATAACCGACTATAAACATCCTGGGTTAACCGATAATAGTATAAAAGGCCCGGTTTCATGTAACAATGGTTTACCTAAGGTACATAGGCCAAGTCTGACAAATTTAATAATATTTACTTCTTCGTGCGACTACGATTACTCCTGTTTGTCTGTCCCTTATTCTATTTCAGTCGTTGTTGACTGTATATTATCTTTCCACCTTTTTGGCGGCCTTCCAACGGGTCTTCTGCTATACGGCTTGTTGTTTTTACAGATGTTCGTTAACCTATCTGGTCCCATTCGGTTTACATGTTCGTTGCAGTTTTTTTTTTCTTGTTTTTATCCACCTGTTAATATTTTGAATTTTGCATTGTTGGCATATAGTTCTGTTGGTTTGTCTGTCTCTTAACGATATACCCGCTATTGATCTTAATATGTTCATTTCTATATTGTTGATTTGTTTCGTCTTGTATCGGTCCTTGTCTCCGCTGCATATGTTAGGATTGGTCTTACTGTTGTCTTGTACACTTTCATTTTGCTTTCCGTGATCAGATATTTGTTTCTCCATATGGTTTCTCGGATGCAACCACTTAATCTTTCCGCTTTTGATGCTTACCTTGTGGTCTCTGTTCTTATATCTTATATCCCTAGTCACTAGTGTTCTCTACTCCTAATATTTACGACCGCACTAATTGAAGTCAACCATTTTCTGCTAAACAAACTTTATATATATATATATATTGAACTTTTTATATTTTGTGGAATTTGCAAATAAATGTTTCTCCGTCGAGATATTTTTAGACATAAATTTTGATTTGATATTTGTTCTTGATAATTTTATCGTTGTTTGATTAATTTTTTATATATTGAGGGCAATATTAGCTCAGAGTCGTTGCATAATAGAAGTACCTATTGTATTGACACAATCCTCAAACTGAACCTTTCTGAAATACTAACGTCATTGATTTAAAAATGTATTGTTTTTATTTTAACAAACAAAAAGTAAATGGACTTTTTGCTTCTTTTATTATCCTAGCTAATGAGTTATGTTTAAAACTACACGCTTAATTACTGGTAGGCACTTTTTACTAAAGAAGAATACCAATAAAACTTTTTAGGTTGATTCAATACTGATCTTTTTCATTTAGTCTTTACTTTCTGCTTAATGAGTTTTCTAATTTCTGACCCGCGGGCATATTCATCTTTGAGCTAATAATTATGTAAACGGAATTTATTTACTAAAAATTGGTCATTGGGAATGGAGAAGGGAGTAAATCGTATCAAGCTTAGAAAAAAGAGTAACGTCACAGCTGGCACAAGATTGTATAAAAAAAAAATAAAGGGCCTCTCATTACGTGCTATAAAAATATATTTCCAGTTTGCAAAATTTCAAGAACATATTCTACTATCATGTGTTCATAAGTATGTGAGACTATAACCTTTTAATTCACAGATCTAGCAAAATTTGTCCAATGTTAGAATAATATAAAAAAGAAGACTCTTGCTACAATGTTTTATTTTGTTCAGGTCAGGTGTCGCTCAAAATGTGTATCGTGGTAGTCATTCAGGATACTCTGTGCTGTTTGTGTTATACTGGTGTTGGTTAAAAAGGCATAATGAATTCAAAATAATTAACTTGATATATATCTTCAGGTCTTTATTTCTTCTAATTTCGAGATTTAAGGCTTTTCCGATCTCATTTTTATTGGTTGATTCTGTGTATTTAATCAATTACATTTTTCTAAACACAGTTTTATGAATTTTACACCAACACTACACTAAATCACTCGGGAAATTTCTTTCTTGGGTGATTTTGAAAGGCAGGTAACATTTTAAAAACTGAGAAAATCATCTTGGTGGTTTTTTTAATGTGTTATTGTGCCAAATTCATATTAACACTGCACCAATTCTTGAGGATTCTTTCCTTATCAATTTTGTTTCTTGTTTGTATGAATTCCAAGATTTTGTCGCAAGTCTATATATCATGGAACATTGTCAAGTACAGTTATTAGTATTTTGGTTTGGTGGAAATAATTATTGGTAGTAACAGATAAATTTTAAAATTTTGCAAAAATCAGTTACTTTCCGTAATCGTTTACAATATTTTGAACTCTATGTTTATATGCCTTTTCGGTCCAATTCCAACTTTTCGGTCGACGAAAAATTCGAATAAGCGTACAGAATGTGTTCATTGTAAAAATCATTAACAAATTTCTTAAAAAGAATATTGTAGCTATATTACAACGTATAGCAAAAAGGATTCACCGCAAAAAACTTATACTTCGGCTTATTCTAAATATATAACCTCTATTCCAATTTCGAATGTCAACACACCTGATCGGTGGACTCTTTGCAGCACAGTGAAGCTCAAAACCGACAAGACGAACAAAATAGGCAGCACCAAGACGCCGTGCAGCGACATCAAGAAGCCCAAAGGCAGCAAGAAGTTCAACGGCAGCAAGAAGTCCAACGGCAGCACCAAGAAGCTCAGAGGCAACAACAAGAGTCTTTCCATCACGCGTTAAGCGAAGCGCACGCGAGGTTGCAGCTCAATTTGCAAAATAATCAGCTGCACAATAATCACTATCAGCAGGTATTCTTAAAAACAGAGTTTTTATCCGTGTGATTTGTATTTAGAATTTTACACACTTGTTATTAAAATATCTATACAGAATATATTTAAAAGCTTTGTAGTTGTGCTATAGTAGATAATATGGTTTATGAAATTGATATGTATGTTATATGGTATGCTTTTCCTTTCAGTACGTTTTTTGTGTGGTAATGAAATAAACGAATGTCCGTACTACTACCAAAAGTATGGTTATTGTGCTGTATTATCACAAATGAAAACCACCTGTGTGCTGAACAGCATCAACATAAATACCACAATAAAAGTACTAAACGTCCATCTCTTCGTATTTTCCATTCCTTTTATGCTAGATGCTCGTCTTAAATAGGTTAATTTATGTCGTTATTTCAGTTTGGTTTTCTGTTGGTATTTCTGTTTTTCGTCCTAACCTAACCTAATGTTCGCTACTTTAAGACTTGTTTGGGTAATCGCCCGTCCTTCCAGTATAAGTTAGTTCTCGTACATACCATCTTTTTTTTATTCCTAATTATTCCTAATATTCCTAATTTTCATTATATCATCATTCAGTCGTTAGATTCTATTAATCTCTTTCGCTTCTACTATACATCATTATCATACATAAAGAAGCTGAAAACAAGACATGATTATCTGAAATGACTTCCGCCACCATTTTTAAAAATGAAAGTTCACTTGAAGAATACACAGAATGTTGTGAGATTTGCTTCTATTTCATTTTCCTGTTGTTAAAATATCTCTATTTTAAAAACTCAAAAATAACTTCAAATAAATAAATTTACCAACACCATATAATTTATATTATATAGTGGTATATATTATATGGCTATGTAATTTAGTATATTATAATATGGCCTTGGTTTGCAAGCCTGTATTTAGGAGAGTCAGAATGGCAAGTCGTCGTCGCATAAAACATTGACAACGAATAAAAAATCTGACAGTACTGTATCAATCTGTAAAATTGATAAAGGAATATTGGTGAATAAAATTAATTGTACTTTTTTTTTCTTTAGGGTTTAGTACAGGCCTTGCAACAGCATCAACAGATACTTTCACAAGCTCCAATACCTCACAAGGGAAGAATGCCCCGTGCTAAGGCTGACGCTAGGCCCAGAGGCCGCATGACTGCTTATGCTTTCTTTGTACAAACATGCAGAGAAGAGCACAAAAAAAAACATCCCGAAGAGAACGTTGTCTTCGCTGAATTCTCGAAGAAATGCGCCGAAAGGTGGAAGGTAAGTAACGATTTGGTTATGGATTATTTAGTTCCACCAAATATGTCACAATATGATTAGAGTTTTAGCCATATTAGTTTAGGTTTTCGTCTTTTATTCATTTTTTCCAAATTTGATAACCACTAAAAGTTTTAACTATCAACTAAATATTTTGCCACGACAAGAAAGCAGTTCCTATCTTCCCAATTAAAAAAAAGGTCTGTAATTTATTCTTTATAAGACCAGTAGATAAATCTGAAGTTCCTATAAAAATCTAGCGGTGCCCGGTACAACGATTGTCGTTGATGGCTTTAAGAGAGACCACTTATCCACTCACAAATCAATTGTTTGCAGAACATACAGTAAGACCAATGGGGATGCGAACAATTCTCATCTTCGGATTCGCAGTTTTGGTCTTTTTACATTTCAGCCACACTGGGTGCTACTCTTACCCTGAACATTGACGTAATCATCTTGAATGGTATAGGTAACGATTGACTTGGGACCAGGAATGGAATGAGGTTGTCTTTAGCGATAAATCTCGATTCTGTTTAAGGATGCATGATGGCCGAACCAGGGTCAGAAGATTTTGTAGTGAAAGACTCGATCCTCAGTTTGTTATTCAATCAATCCACTCAATCCAGTTTATTGAAGTAAACTGTAAACCCAAGATAATAAAAATTATAGACCGATTGTTAATTTAAAAATGTTCTAGAACCATTCCAGCAGCATTTTTTACTTGTATGTTATCTTTATTGTCAATCCATTTTTGTCCATGTATCATTGTTATTTTCTCGTTGACGAAGTGTCCTTCAGTCAGTGCTAAACTATTATTTTTGTTTATATTTATATTTCATTTTATATTTCTAATCTGTACCACCGTTCAATTGTTTAGTTGATCCGATATTCCATGCCTTTTTTTATTATTCTCTTTTGATTTTTCTAATAAACACTATTACACTGCGTCTAAAAGTAGTGTTCATTTTTGTCCAATTTTGATAGAGGGAATATCCAGTTTTTTTAATAGTCCTGTAAATATTTTGTCAATAGATTAGAATTTTACGGCTTTACGATATAGGATAAAGGTATAGAATTTATCAGGAATCGTGTTGGAAAGACTGATTTATTATGCCAAAATGGCGAGAAACTGACGCTCAATATCCTAACAACATTTTGCGACACTCCTACGACTTTATATTTTTATCAATTGGTGTGTCTATAGAAAGGGAGTTAAAATTAAAATAAAATTTTTATTTTACTGTGAATAAGGTATTGGATTGGATAAGTCTTTCTGTCGAAAATATGGTAACATCGATATTGAGTTAAAGGATTCTTGTTTAAAAGGATTTGAGCAATCATATTTTATTCATATTTGATATAAAATCGTTATATTAGCCGGGATAGTTAGTTCCTACACCTCTTTCTTTCGTTTTTTTTTTCTATTATCGTCAACGAAAAGCTAAATTAATAGTGGTGAGGTTAGGTTCAGTAGGATCACTAATTAATGTCCGGTTTGTATTGTAATGACTTAACGTCCGGTTTTGAGTATTACAATTTTCTGCTCATTTTCAGGTCCACGACAAGATTACTTGACTGCTAAAAAAAACATTACAGTGGTTATAACTTACAAATTATGCCAGTATATCTACATAAGAGGTGTGGTACGTGGTAACGGTACTGTTCGCCTTATCCTTTTTTTCTATAACTAATTTTTGTTTCAAAACATTAGTTGGGTTCACATTAATTTATATAATAAGCATACAGCATAGGCAATAAATACGGCATAGGCACATTTTGTTGGTCCGTACTTCATATTAGCGCGCGACATCTTTCCTAAAAACGTCGTGAACATGAAAGGGTATTATTTGGGTATTATACGAGGTTGGCATCGAAAACATGAATTGGTCACCACGTAATTCACATAGAGTGCGAATGGAACGAATTAGTAAGCCACGACGCAGGGTTTTAATTCAATACCGAGAAGGTAATAGATTACATTTATTTCACGCTTACTTACGTTACTTGTTTGTTCCATTTTTCCTAACTTCTTATTCGTAACCTTGCAGCCATTCTCCTAAAATTTTCGGTGGAATTTTCAATAGTGATTTGCGTCGTAGAAAAGACATTTAAGAATATTTAAAAGCGATATCTCCCATTAATAATAATTTCATTATTCAAAACTTCACCTAATCATAGTTATTCTCAATTCACGCAAACAAAAGTACTATGTGTCGGTAACACATCCCTCAAATTAGTGTAGCAGTAAGTAATAACGAGATAATAAACTGTTAATTGATGTTATAACAAGGCTTAATAGCAGCATTTTAATTTCTTTAATAATAAGTATCACACATAAGACAACATGTACTATCTGATAATTACTTCAAAATTATAGATAAAATGCCCGCCGTTTTCCGGTGAGATTTCTTGACGGAATTTTTTTAAGAGGTCGTCAACATCGCCGTAATTATAGTCGAAAATATTTCGACTAGAAAAAAACTAAAGTATCTTCACCGAGTCGAGATAGTGCACCAAAACAAATAAATAGGCCTTGTACAGGGATACGAATATTTTAACTGGTTGAAGGTTCTGACCGCTCCACCCTCTTCAGGGGTGTACTCTGACACGATTAATATGTTTTTTACATAACACTTGAAACTACGTCAAATTTTTAGCTTAAGTAATATACTAGGAAAGGCAAGAATTTTTTAGGATGGGTTTTTGGCAGTTTTGAAATGTTTAAAGTTTTAATTATAATGTTGAATTTATTGTTATTTTAAAAATGTCACATAATGTGACATTTAGTTGATTAAACCTTTTAATTGTATGAAAATTATAGATTTTTGATTGTGATTGAGTTTTACACTTTCAGATTAGAAATGAAAGATTAATTTAAATATTCATTAATAAAATAATAATAAACAAGGTATTTATTAATATATTCAAAGAAAATTAAATGATATTAGAAATAGGGATTTGTTTGTAAATGAAAAATATTTAATGAGCGACATTTATGTGACAGAACCCTTACAATATAAAAGAAAATAAGTGAAAAAAAAGAGGTCATTCAGGTTGTCAGAAAAATATGGTAAAATAATAATAAACATTAATATAAAGTATAAAGAGCGTCTATATTATCCATTTTAAAGTTAACAAAATTTGTAAGAGTGTGTGAAATAAATAAAATGTGGTTTGGCATTTAAAAATATTAATTATTCCTAAGCAAGTTTCTAAAGTTATATAGATATTTATCAAAGCTAAACCAAAAATTCAGCCAATACTACTAAGTGATCTCAAATATTTCAATTTCAGAAGAATAAATCAAAATGGCTGCCTAAATTTATATCAGTACTTACTTTATGTGGTTAGTTCCTTGATGTTGATCATCAATCAGCCAATTGCGTCCACTGCTGGACATAGGTACCCCTCAATTCCTTCCAGTGTTCACTTCACTGGGCTACTTGTCCATCTAGTCGGTGGTTGTCCTGGATTCTTTTATATAATTCTGGGATGTCCTGGGTGGTCGTCCTGGGATTCTTTTATTATAGTTTCTGGGCCTCCATTCCATGATTCGTCATTCCATGATACGTAAGCTTAGTAGTTCTTTCAATGACGTCGTGAACTCCTGATCTTTACCTGATTTGTTGGTTTGTTATGTGGTCTCGAAGGCATTGCACGTTCCATGGCTCGTTGTGTAACTCTGAGTTTATTCGCAAATTTTTATGTCAGTGTTGATGCTGATAAGTTGTTGTAAAAATACAATCAGTATTTTTACTCCGATGAGGAATAACTGCATATGTCACTCTCACTATTAGGACCAACTTCTATAATTACTGGTTCCACTATAACCTCCATAATATTATCCAGCTCCCAGAACTTTTTTTCCACTATATTCTTAACGTGATCCACACAATTTTTCCATTTTTCTGGGGTGATGTTGTTAACAGCTTCATCAAAAAGGTTTTTTACATCTGCGAACTTGAAAGTTTTGTTATTAGCAGCAACAAAATTTTTAGCGTCAGCCCATATGAGCTCAATTGGATTGAGCTCACAATGGTATGGTGGTAAACGTAACACGGTTGTATTTTGTTCTCTTGCCATTTCGTCTACGACACATTTATTGAACTTTGCCTTAAGGGGGGCCACTAATTGTAAAAGTTCCACTTTTAACATATCATCATCGAAATAAATGTCTTTTGACTGTAGCCATTGTTTTATTTTTTGTTTATTCCATGATGTTGTGGGTATCTTTTCAATTTTCCGGGAATGATAAGAGGCATTATCAAGAACTATCACACAATTATCTTCTAACCGAGGCAATGTACTTGCAAACCACCTTTCGAAGCTCTCAGCGTTCATCTCTTCATGATAATCGCCGCTCTTTTTTGAGTCAAACATCCATAAACAATCTTCTACAAATCCTGTTTCACTCCCTATGTGGGTAATAATAAGTCTTTTTCCCTTGCCCGATGGATTTTTAAGACCTGTTGAAAAACCAGACAAAAATGCCTGCATGGAAGATTTCACCGTTTCGTCAACCCAAACATGGGATTTTGTGTGTCCTGAATTTACCCATGTTTCGTCTAAATAGTAAATTTTTCTATTTTGTTCCCGAAATTTTTTTATGGATTTTAAGAAATTTCGTCTCCACAAGATGATGTCGTCTCGATCTAACAAAGCACTATTTCTGCCCCTCCGTACGTATTTAAAATCAAGTGATTTGAGGAGTTTATAAAATGTAGTGCTTTTAAAATTCGGCAAGCTTTCGTCCTCATTAACAACTGAAAGAACTTTGTGTATAGTAGGTATTTCGTTTTTAAAAAAAAATTGATGCACAATTCGTCGTATGGCCGATTTATCGGCATCATCAATTTTGTCCAATATAGTTTTCCTGGGCTTAGTCTTTTTCGGGGAAGAAAATGTTCCGGTATTCTTCTGCTCTTTAAGAATTCTGTACACAGAAGCTTCACCTACGCCACAAGAAATAGCTGTCTGTTTCACTATTTCCGATACCAAAGCTT